CACACACACACACACGAACCACCCATCTATTCATCCACCTATCATCATTCGCCTGTCCGTCTGCCAGATGCGTGAGTTGGCTGTCAAGAAGTACGGGAGCGTCGATGCGATGGAGGTGGCTCTCGAGGCCAAGAAGGACAAGCAGATCGCCGCCCTGCAGAGGGATGCCGGTGCCAAAAGGGGCAGGAAGGCCTCGGCCGAGGGGGCGGGTGAGGGCGGGGAGGGCATTGGTGCCTTGCTGGACAGTATGGGGGTGTCGCAGGAAGACAAGAAGAGAAAAGCCAAGGCGCCCAAAAAAGGTGTGTGAACAAACACTGAACGGACGGCAGCGAGAGGGAGACTTCATGTCAACATGTCGTGCCCCTTTGGTTGTGTGTGTGTGAACCCAGGTGCCAAGAAGGCTCGCAAGGCCGACGATAAGCGTTCGGCCGCCCCCCCTGCCCCCCTACACGAGCACAAGTATGGCCCCGACCTGCCTGTGGAGGGGCAGGAGAACCACTTCTACAAGGAGTGCGTCGAGTGCGGCCACCGTGTGGAATGGGACGAGATTTAGATGACAGACAAGACAGGCGCACACATAGACGGCCGTCGGGGCCATCTGGTGTGACGGAATGGCCTGTTTCATGTGTGAATTAGGGGCGTCTGTCTGATGGATGAGGGGGAGGGAGGTGCTTTATTTGTCTGTCTGTCTGTCTGTCTGCCCGTGTGTACTCCCTTGAGGAATCCTTCCTGGTTTGTTTGTGTGCGTGGGCTGGGGTGGGGTACATATTCATGATTGGTGTACAGAGAAGAAGGATCAGACCCTCCCTCTATCGCTACCTCTTGTTGGTTGGCATGCTGTCATATTACACACGCATTTCTCTTCTCTCTCTAAAACACCCATCCATCTGGTCTGCACCTCCCTGCCTGTGCGCCCACCAATAGATGTGCGCATGTGCGCATGGGAAGGTGGCAGGTGGGGTCGATGGGGATGAGAGATGGTGTCTGACGTGTAGATGAAGAAAGACACATGCCCGTTTTCATATTCAAGAGCATGCATCGTGATCTGTCTGTCCCCCAGGCGAAATGCCACGAACCGGAAACCGTCGTAGTCACAGAAAACATATCGTTTCGGTTTGCGTCCCCGCCCGCCCGCCCACGCCACCTTCCCATGTGCACATGCGTCGATGAGCAACAATATTGGGGGGTGACAAGGAGGAAGGAGACACGAGAAATGGACGCACGCACGCACGACAGCATCACACCTACATCCATCAGTCACATTGGCCCCCCGCAGAAAACACAGGAAACAAATCTCAGTCAGTGGAGAGGCGGCTCGTCTATTGTGACCACGATAGGCACATTGCCACATCCACCACCGGTGCGTGAATCGAGCGACCTTGGCCATGTTGACGCAGCCAACGTCCTTCGGATATATCGAGGACGTCAGTTCCATCAACAACAGCCCTGACACTCGACGCAAGCACGGCAGGTACCGAATCACGGTCCACAAACCACCCACCAGCAAAGCTCTCGATCACCTCCCCCAGCCCACATACACAGCAATGAAACTTGCAGCTCTTCACGAGTCGCTGCACTCTCTCACAATTAAGCACGGGCCCGCCAACGACTGACGCTCACGCACTCGATCACTTGTTTACTCCCCTGGGCCTCATACATCCACATAACACACACAAATACAGAGCGGCTCTGTACTGTGTGCGAAGGGGCCGTCCCTCTCGCACCCTCAGCGCAACAGCAGAACAGTGAGTGTGGATCGGATCGTTGGCAGCTTGGATGGATTACAGGCTCTCTCGGTCGGTCAATCGATCGACCCATGGAGACACACAGCCAGCTGGATCGACATCGAACCAAAAATGGCCGCTTCGGTATCCCCCTTCCCTCTCTCCCTCTGAGTGTCTGTAACTGTGTGTGCGTCTGAAGCTCAGAGGTTGATGGTAGTGTAGTGGTGGCCCCCCAGTGAGGGCGGCTTGACGCCCGTGACCAGCGGGGGGTTCCTGCTGAGGTCCTGGCCCTTCGGCACTGGCTTGGCCATGCCCTTGTCGATGAACGACTGGCACGTGTCGCGCAATGTCTCCTCAACGGGGCGCAACTCCACGCCAAGCAGATCCCTCATCCTGAGTGCCATTCCACGCACATCCACATCTCAGTTTCTTTGGACTTTTCGGGTCTGTTTTCTCAGTGTTCTAATCTTGCTGACTTCGAGTTGTCGAGGAAGGGAGTTGGCTCCTGGTACTGCGGCGGGTCGGGCTTGCCCAGCTCGATGTCGGGGAACATCTCCTGCATCTTAGACATCACCCAGGAGGGTGGGACTGACATACACACACGCAACACACACACAGCACAGGACACGGGACTCAGTAAGTGAATCCTTCCGTGGCTCCCTCACATTTGTGTGCGTGTGAGACGATGATGCGTTCGTTGCTGACGCCGGTCAGCTCCGCAGCCTTGATGTGCGCCACGGCCAGGTCACGGTTGTCGATGATCGGGAAATCTATGTCAACAATGCCTGGGGGGAACCACACACACCAACAACGGGCGGGCACTAAGTGTCTGTCTGTACTCCTTCCTGTGTGTGTGTCGGTCTCTGTATGTGGCACCTCCTTCGAGCATGGCCTTGATGTACATCCATGGCATCTTCCAGCTGCCGTCGGGGCTCGCAGGCAGAGGCGGGCTCAGCTCGTGCGTCGGACACAGCACCACCATCGGGATCTTGTGCTCCTCCACTGACGCCCACGCCGCCCTCTCAGCACACACCTACACACCAAAGATACGCATCACGCTCGTCGCACGACAGACACACCCACCACACACACACACACACACGCTCACCTTGACATAGAGGAAAGGCCGATGGTCCTTGGTGGAGGTGCTGTTCCAGTCCTCCTCATTGAAGACCGCCCTCCCGCCCCCGGGCACCTCCCCGTCAGCAAAGCCGCAGATGCAGGCGAAGCTGGACGTGATGATGACCTTCTTGACTTGGCCCTTGTGTTTGGCGACCGAGTCGAACAGGTGTTTGGTGCCGAGTGTGGCCACGTCGGGGCTGTGGTAGGGGTGGTCGCTGGGGAAGGACGTGTGGAACACGTATTCGCAGCCCTCAACCACCTTGTCGAAGGCACCTGGTGCAAAGGAGTAATAAGAGAGAGAGAGGGAGAGAGAGAGAGGTGTGTGTGTGTGTGTGTGGCGGTGGGTGTACCTGGTTCGATGAACTCTGCCTCAAGGAGCTCGAGCTGTCCGTTGAACTGTGTCTGCATCTCAATCAGGTGCTGCGTCTTGGCCAAGTTCTGGCAGTCCCGAACCGTCGTCCGCACGTGGCATCCTGCACAGCACACCACAGCACAACGCACACATAGACAGACACACACATCAGTCACACAAAACACACAGAAGCAGAGCAGAGAGCCAATCACGGCTGCCTTGCCTGTGTGCCCCAGTGGCGGCGCACCTATTTACCCGCCCGCCCGCCCGCCCGCCCGCCCACCTTTCTCGAGTAGTGTCTTGATGAGCTCTGAGGCGAAAAAGTTGGTGCCCGACGTGACGCACACCGTCTTGCCGTCGATGCACTGCATGGCTCCCAACGATAATCGACGACAAAGGAGAAATTCTGGTGCTTCGCGCCAGCCGTCGAATTCTTGGAGTTCAGGGTTTAGGGTTAGCATCTGCGAGCTTAGCTCCTAAGCTCGCGTTTTCATGAAGCATTCGTGGAAGCAGCACACACATCAGTTTGATCTTTGCTTGAACAAATCGGAGTTGATCTACGCCGCTTGTTTCTCGTCGCAATATTCTCTGCTTGACACAGCTGACTGGGCCTGCTGAGTGACTCAGAGGCATCTATCTGTCATCAGACATCAGCCATGTCGCAGGATCACTTGATGAAGCAGGTGAGGTCTCGCTGCGTAGGCGTGTGTGTGCAAGAGAATGCGCGTTGGCACACCTGCTCTCTGTGTGTGTGTGTGTGTCAGGACCTGGATGCCCTGGACGTGGGGCAGCTCAACCCCCTCACGCCAGAGGTCATCAGCAGACAGGCCACCATCAACATTGGTACGCACTCACGCACACACCAGCCATACGCACGACAGACATGATGAGTGCACTACTCCCTGTGCGTGTGTGTCTCAGGAACCATCGGCCACGTGGCGCACGGCAAGTCGACCGTGGTGCGGGCGATATCGGGCATCCAGACGGTGCGGTTCAAGTCGGAGAAGGAGAGAAACATCACCATCAAGCTCGGGTGAGTGAGTGTGTGTTCACAACCGACACGCAGTGGGCAGGGAGAGGGAGGGGAGGACACCTCACCTGCGTGTGGTGTGTGTATGCTTGTCTGTCTGTCGATCGATAAGGTATGCGAATGCGAAGCTGTACAAGTGCGAGGATGACGAGTGCGAAGCACCCCAGGCCTACGTGTCCTTCGGCAGCGACAAAGAAGACACGCCCATAAGTCCCTGCTGCAAGAAGCCTCTCACATTGAAGAGGTCCTCACCCCACACCCACCCCTCAACACACGCCCGACGGACGGACGGACGGATGGATGGATGTCGTCCTGCAGGCACGTGTCGTTTGTGGACTGCCCCGGTCACGATATTCTGATGGCGACGATGCTCAACGGCGCTGCGGTCATGGACGCGGCTTTGCTGCTGGTGGCCGGCAACGAGAAGTGTCCGCAGCCGCAGACCTCTGAGCACCTGGCGGCCGTCGAGATCATGAGACTCAAACACATCATCATCCTGCAGGTAAGATGCGATGCGGCCTGTGCGGTTGAGGCCGGGCGGGCGGCATGTGTGTGCGTGTTGGTGTGGTTGTTGTTGTGTGTGGTTAGAACAAGGTTGAGTTGATCCAGGAGGCGCAGGCGACTCAGCAGTATGACGACATCAAGGCGTTCGTCTCGGGCACGGCTGCCGATGCGGCCCCAATCGTCCCGGTGTGTATGCCGCCACACTCTTAATTAACCCAACACAACCCAAAGACCACAGCCATTGTCCATCCATCCATCTCTGTGTGTGTGCACGTGTGTGTGCTAACTATAGATATCGGCGGTGTTGAAGTACAACATCGATGCAGTGGTGGAGTACCTGTGCACCCAGATCCCGGTGCCCGTCAGGGACTTCACCTCCAAGCCACAGATGATCGTCATACGGTCGTTTGACGTCAACAAGGTGAGTGAGCTTCTGGACTGACAGAGACACAGACACAGACAGCGGCCGGCTGGTGTCACGCTCATGTGTGTGGTGTGTGAAAACAGCCTGGTGAGGACGTTGAGAACCTCAAGGGCGGGGTGGCGGGCGGGTCGATCCTCAAGGGAGTTCTGAGGGTAAACAGACACACACACACACACACACATATACACGAACAGACAGCAGCCAGCGCGTGTTGTGCATTTTTGCGTCAGGTGGGTGACGAGATAGAGGTGCGTCCGGGCGTGGTCACCAAGGCCGCCGACGGCAAACACACGTGCAAACCCATCAGATCACGGTGCGTGTGTATGCAGGCCAGGCAGCTGTGCACAACACAAACCACCCAAACACCACACCTATCTCTCTCCGGTGCGTGTGTGTACGCGTGCAGTATCCTCTCCCTTCACGCCGAGAACAACGACCTGCAGTACGCCGTCCCAGGCGGCCTCATCGGTACATACGTAACCATAGCTAGGCAAGGCAAGCTAGCCACCAAGGCATCCCTCCCTCCATCCATCCACACACTCTGTGTGTGTGTCAGGTGTGGGCACCCTGATCGACCCCACCTTGACCCGTTCCGACCGTCTGGTGGGTCAGGTGCTGGGCCACCCCGGCTTCCTCCCCGAAGTCTACATCGAGATCGAGATCACATTCTACCTGCTGCGAAGGCTGCTTGGCGTCAAGACGGAGGGGCAGGAGAAGGCCGGCAAGGTCAGTGGGGTGGGGGGGTGGGCGGTGGAGTGCTGGGATGAATGAATGAGTGGAAGGGCATGACAAACGAGGGATGTTTCTGCCCTGCCGCGTGTGTAGTATGCCTGTGTGTCTGTGTGTGTGTGCAGGTATCCAAGTTGAAGAAGGGCGAGTTTCTGATGGTCAACATTGGGTCGACGTCGTCGGGCGGCAGGGTCACCGGCATCAAGGGGGTGAGTAGGGCAGCGAGCCAGCCACACGCCCATATGCCGATCCTGCCTACCCACCCACAACACACGGCCTGCATGGATGAGGTGGATGAGTGGTCTTGTGTGTGTGTGTCCATCTGTCTGACATGAATAATGTGTTGCAGGAGTCGGCCAAGGTTGAGTTGACCCAGCCGGTGTGCACACAAGTGGGCGACAAGATAGCCCTCAGCAGGAGAGTCGAGAAACACTGGAGGTACGTACCTACATCAGACACACACACGGTGCACATGTAACAGTAGCACATGGGCAGCCATCACTGTCTGCCCGTCTGCCTGCCTTCCCGTCTGTCTGTCTGTGTGTGTGTGTGTGTGTGCAGGTTGATTGGCTGGGGTCAGATTATCAAGGGCCGCACGCTACCGATGCCAGACGAAGAGGGCTGAAGGAAGGGATGGATGGGTGCATTGAATGCATTGCATGGGGGGGATGGATGGATGTCTTGACCGACCGACCGGGAGTGTTCGTGTATGTGAGACCTACGTTGTGTTGCATTATTGATTGATTTTTGAAGCTGCTTTGCATCAAGCAATGACATGCTCTCATTGATAAGACGGTGCCTGCCTTCATTGCGCATGCACCACACTTTTTCACCAAAGGACCATCGCACCTCTCTGCAGGTTTGAGCTCGCAAACAGAGGGAGGCAGGTCTGAACAACCATGGCGCTGTCCATAGTGACATGCATCCAGGAGTACATCCGCTCGATGATCGAGCGCGTCGGCGGCATGAAGGTCCTGCTGCTCGACGGCGAGACCACCGGCATCGTCAGCATGGTCTTCTCCCAGTCGCAGATCCTCGAGCGAGAGGTCTTCCTGGTGGAGCGACTCGACGCCGAAAACAAGGAGAAGATGCGCCACCTCAACGCCGTGTGCTTCTTCCGCCCGACAGCCGACAACTTCCTCCGACTCGCCAAGGAGCTCAAGGCGCCGAGCTACGCCGAGTACCACCTGTTCTTCTCCAACGTAGCGCCGCATTCGCAGCTGGAGCGGCTGGCGAGGTGCGATGAGTACGACAGCGTGCAGCAGGTGCACGAGTACTTCGCCGACCTCTACGCCATCAACCACGACCTCTTCTCGCTCAACCTGGCGGGCACCGTGGGCCTCACACAGGACCCGACGGCCTGGACCAACTTCGAGGAGGCCGTCTTCGAGCGCACCGTCGAGGGCATCTTCGCCGCGCTGCTGGCGCTGCGCAGGCGGCCATTGGTGCGGTACCTGAAGCCGTCTGAGCTGTGCAGGAGGGTGGCGACCAAGCTGCAGCAGCGGATGACCGAGGATCACTCATTGTTCGACAGCATGGGGGTGGGGCTCAGGGCAGGTGAGGATACACACACACAACACACAGAGAGAGGCCCTTTTGGTATGGGCGGATGGGTGGTGGATGTGTGTGTGCAGGTGGTGCGGGTGACTATTCGGCTGGCGGCGGCGGGTGTGTGTTGCTGCTGGTGGATAGGAGGGAGGACCCCGTGACGCCCCTCCTCAACCAGTGGACCTACCAGGTATGCACGTTCACACATGCAACGCTTCCCTCATCCATCCATGTGTGTGTGTGTGTGTGTCCCTCATTCCGTCAGGCGATGTTGCACGAGTTGATAGGGATCGAGAACAACCGTGTGGACATGCGCAAGGCGCCGGGCATCGCTGAGGACCTCAAGGAGATCGTCATGAGCCCTGCACAAGACAACTTCCTGGAACAGGTGACTGTGTCAGCGACGCAGACAGTGGGAGGGAGGAGAGCGCATCCAGGCACCCGTGTATGCCTGGCCTGGCTGTGTGTGTGTGTTGTGTTGTGTTGTGTGAATCTCAGAATTTGAGTTCCAACTTCGGCGACCTCGGTGTGGCGATCAAGCGATATGTGGAGGCGTACCAGCAGCAGGTAGGTGTGCCTGTCACCACACCATGCATGTGTGTGTCCATCCCTCCCTCATCCGTGTGTTGTGTGTTGTGTGATGTGTGTTGTGTGTTGCGTCTTATGCAGACTCAGAACACCGCCAAGATCGAGTCGATAGAGGACATGCAGCGGTTCGTCGACCAGTTCCCCGAGTTCAGAAAACTTTCAGGTAGGTAGGTAGGCAGGGGACTTTCTCCAGCCAAACAACGAACACATCCATTCGTGTGCATCATGATGCGCCATCCATCCGTCGACTCATGCAGGCAACGTGTCCAAGCATGTGGCCGTCGTGCACGAGCTGTCCCGGCTCGTCGAGACCAACGACCTGCTGGACGTCTCGTGCCTAGAACAGGTAGGTCGGTATGCCGTGCTGCTGATGTGGCTGGGGTCTACCACAGAGAAATGCATTGTGTGTTCCTGTGCTGTGTGTTGGTGTAGGATTTGGCGTGCACCAACAACAGGAATGAGCACTGCAAGGCGGTGCTGGACCGGCTCCGCAGCCCAGACACGCGCAACATGGAGAGGCTGCGGCTGGTCCTCCTCTACGCCCTCAGGTGAATGGACGCGAGCACAGAGAGAGAGTGTGTGTGTGTGGGCATTGTGTGTGTGTGTGTGTGTGTGTAGGTATGAGAATGACACGTACATCGGTCAGCTCAAGGAAGAGCTCAAGAAGGCCGGCATAGAGGAGGAACAGGTGATCCCCCAATGCACCCAAGTAGCCAGCATCTCACTCATCCTCTGTGTGTCCCTTCCTTCACATATAAGTGCAGGTGGCGTTGGTTGACGCGTTGCTGGCTCATGCGGGCTCCCACGTGAGGAGCGGCGATCTGTTCCAAAACAAGAACTTCCTCGCCGTCGCGAAGAGCAGCATACAGAGGGGATTCAAGGTCAACAGACCGTCTGGCGGGGGAGGGGTGACACTGCGAGATGAACTCATGTCTCTCTCTCTCTCTGTGTGTGTGTGTGTGTGTGTGTCAGGGTGTGCCCAATGTGTACACGCAGCACAAATCGCTTCTCGCCACCACACTGGAGCTGCTACTCAAAGGTCGGCCACACATACACATCCCCACAGATCCATCCATCCATCCATCCATGTCTTCCTTTGTGTGTGCATGGCTGCAGGCAAGCTCAAGGAGACGCAGTACCCCTTCGTGCCCACCACCCACTCCACAGCCAGCGGCGCCGCTTCACGAGACAAACCCTCAGAGGTACTTGGAGGCACCTCACCTCGCCCCCTCCACACCAATAGTGCCTGATGGATGGATGGATGGCGTGGCGTGTGTGTCATGGATGCGGCAGGTGATAGTCTTCGTTGTGGGCGGTGCGACCTTCGAGGAGGCGCGTGACGTGGCCCACCTCAACGCACAGGGGGGCTGCCGTATCATTCTCGGCGGCACCACCGTACACAACACCAAATCGTTCCTCGCAGACATTTCCCAGCTGGTGAGAGAGCCAACGACACCCATCATCGCGTGTAGTCGAATGACACTGTGTGTTTGGGTGTGTGGTCAGGTGCGCGGGAGGAGGGTGTCTACGAGCCTTGACTTTGGCGGGGCTTCATCGTCATCGTCCTCTGCTGCTGCTGCCAGCGGGCCTCTGGGGGCGGGGGCGCTCGTGTAGTCGTGTAGATAGTTGATGGCAGTGGCAAGCCCCCAGACAGACAGACAGACAGACAGACAGACATAGATGGGAACACTTCCGTGAGGATGGTAGAGGTAGGTAGACGGGGCGAGCGACTGGCCGCCGACTCATTTGTTTGTTTTGCTGCGTGCCTGCGTGCTGATTGAATGATCGCTGAGTGTCCGTATGTTGTGGAAGCCCATTGATCGGTCATTCATCACAAATACAACCAACGCGTGGCAGGTCTCTGTCGTCCACACACGATTCATCTGCGGCACACACCGCACTGCACCCGTCGACATTATATATACACACAGGCCACTTTATATATACACAACACGGTGGGTGGGGGTGGGAAAAGGAATCTCCTCGAGTGTGCAGCAGCCAGCCAGTCAGCCAATCCATCCATCCATCCGCCGGCCAGCCAGCTGCCAGTGAGTTGAGTCATCAGGCGGGCCGGGCAGGAGGTAGTCAGACGGACAAACCCCTCTGTCATGGCTGATGCGCCCCTCCGTCCCCTGATCAACACCTAGGGAAGAGGACGACAACACAACACACACAAACGCTGTGGATGGGCTGGCTGGCAAGCTGTTTGTCCACTCAGCGCGGTCTGCTGATCCTGTCCAGGGGCTGAGGAGGGTGCGGCAGCACCGAACGCGTCGTCATCTGCCGGGCAACATAACAATTTTGAACATGAATGAGTAACTCAGAATGGGCACGCGAGATGCGTCACTTTCATGCTGCTCACCGTAGTCCCCGATTGGCGAGAGGCCTCGGTCCTGGGCTGTGGCACTGCCCGCGCTGTAGAAAGATGCACAGATCCATCCATCCATTCCTTTCCATTCCACGCCACTGAACACGCCTGCCTCTGCAAATAACTTGATGAGTCCATCCTGATCACCAACCGCGCGACTAAGGTCCCTCAACAGCAGCAGCGGTTTCAGGTAGCACCCTAGGCACAGGAAAATTTGCGAGCTGGCACTGCCTGCACCGCTACCCTATCTTCTCTCCACGCGACAAGAGGATGAGGCGAGATTTCGCGACGCGACGACGCGACGCGACGAGACGAAAACTGGAATAATTTCTCGCGTTCTTCACAATTTTCGTCCGGTTCGGCTTTCCATCCCTGTTTCGCCCACAGATCCTTCACTCTTTCCTCTTTTCGCCTGGTAATCGGCTTATATCGTCGGCCGCGTCCCCCTCCACCCCTCCCAATTCGTCCGGTTGTCATTCGCCACTTCCTCACTGAATCGCTGGTGAGCCCTCAGTTGCCTGGCGCCTGTCTGCCGGGCGGAGCTGCCTGGCGCCTGTCTGCTGTGACCAGGGTGTGCGGGCGCCTTCTGCCATCAAGAAGCCCTCCATCAGGTAAGTACCTGAGTGTGTGGCCCCGTATGTCATGTCTTTTTGCTGTGAAGATGTGTGGTGCATGGGTGGTGTGTAAGGATGAATACTCGATCCTTCCCGCACTGTGCGGTGCTCACTTGCCTCCCTTTGTCATGTTCAGGTGCAGAAAAATGATACTTTCCTGATTCTTTCCATGGCCGTCTCCTTCTCTCGACGCACTTCTCAACAGAGTGTAAGTGCTTTGAATGAGTGTGAATGAGCGTGTCTTCACGTAAACGTCAAGCCTACTTCTGCACTTCAGAAATGCAGTCTCTCCTTTGCAGAATGTGCACGTGCAGGGGAAAAAAGAAGAGAAAAGAAAACCAGCCTGTCTTCTTCGGTTCCACAGGTCACACGCGAGCAAACAATCGATTTCTAAATTTCAGACCGAGGGCGTTCCTGACGACAGCTGATGGAAGTTTCCTCAGGCACAAACACGTCCTAAGAAAAGGTTTGCCCTGCTGTCTGTTATGTGTCTCCTGTCCCCTGTCCCTTTGGCCGCTTCGGCGGCCACCAAAAGCACTGCCAGGGGTCCATCACATCAGCCAAGGGGCTGCTTCTCGAGATGCCTGCTTCCCGAGTGCAGATCTTTCAAGGCAATGAAGACAAAGGAAGGTAATCCACACAATGGATTGATCACTATATATATACATCGGATTATTTCCTCCCTAACAGCGCGAATGGCAACGGCATTCCATTTGACCGCACGAAGAAGGAGGCAACTCGGCTGAGAAGCCAGCTCGGCCGACAAGTCATCGGGTACAACTGTGTGTGATGCGGTGTGTGGTGCGCTGTGTTCAGGCCGCGGTGGTCGATATGATGACATGTACAACAGTCATGACATGTACAACAGTCATAACAGTCATGTGCAGGAGTACAAAGAACTCAAGCACACCCAATTGAGCACACCCGTATATACGGCACACCTTCTCATCTGTCTGTCTGGGTGCGTTTGTATGGTGTCCCGGGTGCAGAAGAAGTTGTTTGAGATGATTGCTCGAGGCCAAGATAGCTGAGATTAAGGAGGTGGGGAGGATATCCGCAGACACAGAGAGAGAGATGGCAGACATAGCCACAGCAGATCCCCTGGAGAGGGCCTGGCGTCAGGAGGCCGAGAAGCAGCGGCAGATAGTGGAGGGTAAGTGTGTATGTGGCAGTGAGGGAGTCAGACGTTGCACCCTTGCAACAAAGGCGGGAGGGAGAAGTGTTTCGTGGGTGACGGAACGTGGCCATGATGTGTGTCTGTGTCGCAGAGTTTGACAGTTATGAGAGGGAGGACCCCACTGGGCGCGTCGTGAGGAGGGAATGGCTGAGGCTGTATGAGGAGCGGGAGCATACGAGAGGTGAGGACCAACAACAGCGTCGCCCCCATTGCCTGCCTGCCTGCATCGTGCCGCGCTGTATACTGTCTGTGTGGCGTGCAGAGAGCTGCTACATTTGGCGGACATGCACAAGGTGGCCGTGGAGGGCATCAAGAATCTGCTAAAGTCAAACAAGAATATGGCAGAGACGGCGCGGGCGAACCAGGTGGGCACATACATGTCAGCGGACTCCTATACGGCACGCCTTCTCTCATCTGTCTGTCTGTCTGTCTGGGTGTGTGTGTGTGGTGTCCTGCGAGCAGAAGAAGCTGCTCGATATCCTCAGCGGCCTCAAAGCCAAGATACGGGAGTTGGAACAGCAGCAGGTCGGCCTCAAAGCCAAGATACGGGAGTTGGAACAGCGGCAGGTACGTTCACCTACTTGTGGCCAGACAGTTAGACCCACACAGAGAAACAGACACACACACTCTTTCGTTGTTTGTATGTTTGTTTGTGTCCACCCAGTCGCCCAGCAGCAGCAGCAGCAGCACCGCCTCCCCGCCCCCCTCTCCGCGGCAGTGAGGGGAGTGAGTGACGTTGCACACTCGCAAGAGAGGCGGGAGGGAGGGAGGAGCTCTGCTCTGTGTGTGAGGGAACGTGGCCATGATGGTATGCGCTGTCTGTGTATGCTGCAGAGATAAGGAAATACGACGACGTGGCCCTCATCAAGCTCTACGAGGACAGGAAGTATCTATCTGGTGAGGACACAACACCAGTATCGGACCCATTGCCTGCCTGCCTCCCTGCCTGCGTCCATACGTGTCGCATTGTCCTGTCTGTGTGGCGTGCAGAGCGGTGCAACACGCTGAGGGACCTGCACAACGGGGCTGTGGACGGCATCTGCAATCTGCTCAAGAGCAAGAAGTCTATATGTGAGAGGGCCAACGCCAACCAGGTGGGTACATATGTGGCGACACAGCCCTATACGGCACA